TTTGGTTGGACCGATTTGATGACCTACAGTTATTTCTTTTTTTCAGTAGTTAAATGTACCATATTTGTCCATCGTTGCAAGGGTTAAAAGTAGGAAAAACCAAGTCTGGTTAAACATCACAATAGTCACTTTGATAGTACACCCTAGGCCGGGGAGGGCTTAGTAATTTTCATACTCGGATTCTGAAACCGAAGATTCATGGTTTGAGACCCGTTGCTATGAAAACACGCTCTACACTTTAGGGTCGAAGGTGTGCTAAAAAATGACGGTTAAGTTCTACTATTCAGTGAGACAAGAGTATGTCAAGTGTTTATGTCTATCAGTTGACAATTAGGGACTACTGTGTGAAGATAACCCTTTGTGTAGTTTTGAAGAAAAATTGTGAAACAAAAAATAGCGTATTGTACTCGTTACTTTCTCCAAAATCAAACAAAACATAAGTGTTTATGTTTTCTTAGAAGTGCTCCTAAGAAAACACATACAACACCATATTAATTATATTTTCAGATAAGTTTTCACTTTTTTGACAAAGTATTTCTTGTGTAAAAAAAAACTTATTGTTCGAGGATTTATTCATCAAATATTCCTTGTGAGACAAATCTTACTCTTCTTGACACAGCTTATCACTATGAATTTACTTTATGATTTATACACATTTTTTGTGTGCCCTGTGTCCATTTTACATATAACTACTTTCCCTAACAAATAGAATATATATATAAATTATATTTTTGTTTTTCTAACAGGTATTTCTCATTTTATTTTTGAGGTGGGGTATAATTTTACATAATTACTAAGTTACGAAGAAAAAGCTGAGCTCATAAAACATTACACCGTTGCTTTTTGGTTTTAGAATATTTTATTTGTATGTCAGATAAAAGTTTAGCATGTGTTCATTTGCTAATATATTAAGATAAATCAATGTGATAATTCTTTCTTCAAAGTATGCAATGTATACGTGCATCTTTTTGTTTTTGTCATCCCTCTTGTCAGTAAATCAAAATTAGAGAGTTAGAACTGAATACCAGGAATCTCTGAACTGGCCAATTTGATCATGTGCGCATGTCTTTTGGGTTGGAAATACAACAGTGTATATTATTTGCACTTTAGAATTATATTTATATTTTATATTTCAATGTACATCCATCCTCTCTTGTCTTCCTATTCACGAAAAGAAAGGCGTTGTATACGTCAAGAGATGTTACTTTTGAATTATAACTACCTATAAGAAATGGCCAAATAAAAATTTCTCAAGAAACAAAGTTCATTTAGACCAAAATACAAAGTGCATCTAATCAATGAGTATAATTAATGAAATAGAAGTAACTGTAAAATCTTTCTGTAGGATATAATTTATCATTATATGTTGAAACTAGTATATAAAAATCTATTTATATATAGGTGTCCAAAAATTATGTTAATAAAATCCTGCCCCAGTGGCACAGCGGCAAGTCTTCGGACTTGTAACGCAAGAAACCGGGTTTCGATATTCGTGGTGGGAACAACACAGATACTCCATTAGCCCATTGTGTAGCTTCGTGCTTAACTACAAATAAACAATAACAAAATCGTGTAGTTTTGTTTCCAAGACAGGAGCCTTGAACCTCTGCTACAACGAATACTAGAATTCCATTAGACCAACAGTATTCCTATAATTATCGCTCTTATATTTTGTTTGTTGTTAAGCCCAAAGTTACCCAAAGGGCTATCTGTACTGTGCCCACCACGTATATTGAATCCCGATTTTTAGCGTTATAAGCCCTTAGGCTTACAACTGAGCCATCAGAAGGGATCAATTACTGTTCTTCGGTATTCTTATAATTGTATAAAAAAAATAGATCAGTAAAAGCGGTACACTGTAAAAACAAGAAATTGAAACTTAAACATTTTTTTTTCCAAACATCTTAAAATAAGTTCATGACAAAACTTTGATAACTAATAGAGAATATTTTTTCCTTTTTAACAAAATACTGTCTTAGTTTTTCTTTTGAGGTTTCAGAAAGTACAAAAAAAAAGAAAACAGTGAAATAAAAGTTCTTTGAGAAAATTATGGACTTTTAATGAATAATGATAATATATATAGAATATTTAGAATTTGTCTTATATAAAATTCACTAATAAACTTGTTATTTTAACGTAAATGTTTAATTACAAGAATTAATACTAAAAGAAAAAAAAATTAGGGCGATCGACTACCCATGTGAGGGTCGCAAGTTCGAATCCTTATCGCCGAGCATGCTCGTTCTATATAGTTGCCGTCTGGGCCGGCTACTCTAATGTAAAAAATTTTGGCTTTTAAAATTTCCGACCGACCCCAAACTAGTTTTGGATGAGGTCGTTACGAAGATGAAGAAATTTAATATCAAGGAAAAGTTTTATACTGAAGATTATAAAACTGTAGCTCTTCCGTATAAATTAATATTACTAATATAGTCGCCCGTAATCTGAGGGTCGCGGGTTCGAATCCCCGTCACACCAAACATGCCAATCCTCCGCCTTTGCTTGGTCCCAAGTCCAGGATGAGAAAGGAGGAGGGTTGGGCGTGGGGCTAGCAACTCCACCCCGTAAAAACCAACCTGCTACAAGTAACTGCAACAACACCTTCCGTTGGCAAGGTGTTGTTGCGGCCCTATGCTCCACTGGGAGTTTACAGGAAAAAAAAATATATATAGTCGCCAATGAATAAAACATATTTGTAGTTACACCTTCTCCTTAATTATTTTATGATAATTGTTCTTATGAAATACTAATAATCTTTTTAATTTTCGACTGATGATCGTCCAAGACAATTTTTATACTCACTAATAGAATCATTTAAAATCAAACATCTCTGCGTTTTACTTTCTTGTACATAACAAAATGATTGTTTTATCATCTAAGCAAAAGATAGTGTGCTACAAAGAATTTCCACATATTTTATTTAAAACAGTTCAACAACTTTTCCACAAGGCAGATGATGTAGAGCCACTGTATTATATGATACAGGGGGTAAGTAAACGAAAAGTTACATAGAAGAGAACGTGTAGTGAACGTGACATAACAAAGATTAAACAGCTGTCACAACAGAAGAGATTTAAGTTTGAACCTAAGTACAGAATGTGTAGTGAGCTTAAAAGTTGTATAGGTGAGATTGGTTTTAAACAGCTGTCACAAAGAAGAGAGTTAAGTTGGAACCTACGTAGAGAATGTGTAGTGAGCTTAAAAGTTGTATAGGTGAGATTGGTTTTAAACAGCTGTCACAAAGAAGAGAGTTAAGTTGGAACCTACGTAGAGAATGTGTAGTGAGCTTAAAAAGTCATACAATTGAGATTTGATTTAAACAGCTGTCACACAGAAGAGACTTAAGTTCGAACCTAAGTAAAGAATATTTAGTGAGCTTAAAAGTTATATAGCTGAGATTTGATGTTTGAACTTAAGTAGAGAATCTGTAGTGAGCTTAAAAGTAATATAGTTGAGAATTGATGTTTGAACTTAAGTAGAGAATCTGTAGTGAGCTTAAAAGTAATATA